GAAACCTTCACCAAATTAGACTCGATCCATTACAATCCACAAAACCATAAAGACTTGCTAGCTTTGTGGATCCACTTCGAACCCATCAGACCTGAGAAGAATCCATATGGGGCCCAAATACACGTTGGTGTGATTTAATGAACCAGATCAGATTCCAGGAAACTTTCCTGGTTTCATCTGAGAGCATCGCTAAAACATTTCTGGTTTTTCTCCAAGGAAAGGTGTCAGATAAAATCCCTGAACTGAAACTGAACCAAATATTAAATAAATCTGAGCCAAATTTGAGCCCAACTGAATCTGAACTGAATCTGAACTGAATCTGAACTGAATCTGAACTGAAAATGAGAACTAAATCTGAACTGAACTGAGTCTACAACAGGGTTCACATGTTTCATCAGACAGAATGCTAACGGTCCATTAGCTTAGCAGCTCCAGGTAGGTCACAGGTACTTTGCCTTTCTCGTTGCCCCGCTCTCCAACCAGCCAATCAGGATCCATTCCTGGTACCGTGTAGACAGTGATGACCTGGACAGAAACCACACAGGAAAACGGGTCAAGATAATAAAACATCTAAAAACTGAAGGAAAGTTTCCAAAAGGAGCTAACTGACAGAACGACCAGGCAGAAATCAAACACCGGCCCTTTAAGAGTTTCACCGCTGTATAAATGCATCAAGCGCAGCGTCAAAGAAATTTGAGTTGAGTTTGCAACCTGAACTTGAAATTGGGCTTCTGTCTCTTTAAGAAGCTTCTGCTCTTCCTGAAACTTCAGCATCACAACACAAGCTTAGATAAACATCTTTAAATATTTAACTGATTTAAAACACTGACCAGGAAACAGTGAATGATGATTTTCTTTTTCTGTTACGATTAATCTAGATTAAAGTTACTGATCCAACTCACTGTTATTATTTGTATCATTTTATTTAGAAGACAGAAATATCAACGTCTTGTGTTTAACAGCAGCAGCGAAACAGAGAGAGAGAGCTGAGCGTTTTCTGGATGAGAAAAGCCCCTAGTGGCGGCTGGAGGCATCACTAATCGATCCCAGAGCAGACTTACTAGCTGATTGGCAGATCACAGTTTGCCTCAATAAAATAAAATTTAAAAATAACTTTATCTTCTTACTGTATTTACTTTGTTTTTTTTGCGTATATTAAATAGTGTGAATTAATATTAATTTTAAAATATTTTTTACAGTCAACAGCTGAATATAATATTTTCGTTCCCAGACGCTTCCCATCCTTCAACAGTCCAGGAACCATCGACTAGCCGGATCAGCTTCCTCATCAGGATATCTAGTTATTTTGGGGTTCTGGTCGGTTCTGGTCGGGTCACACTGACCTCGTCGGCCAGCAGGGACAGTTCGCTGGCGTCGTGAGCGTCGTAGTCGTACAGAACCTTGGCCTTCCTGGAGCCCGAGGCGCCGGGAGACAGGCGGCCGGACGGGAAGGCGGTCGGAACCGGATCGGGTCCGGCGCCGGGCGGCGGCGGGGGGCCAACGGCTGAGTTCGCACATCTGCAGCAAAACAAGCAAATATTCCCAGAAGGTTCAACCGACCCGATAATCTGAACCATGGAGCCATCAGAGCAACCGTCTGATCTGGTTCTGATGGATCAGCTCCCCGACCCAGAAGAACTGACTGGACCCAGAGGAACTGAATGGACCCAGAGGAACTGAATGGACCCAGAGGAACTGAATGGACCCAGAAGGTCCAATCAGTTCTAGAGGTCCAGTCACTTAATGATCATTAAGTGAGTTTAACTGAGCGCCTGGCTGCAGCTGGATGCTTTGAGGTGAAGTCTGACAGCAGGTGGCGCTGCAGCTCCTACCTGTTCAGCTCCCTCTGCAGGTCCTGCATGTAGTGATGACACTGAGCGAAGTACGTGGCCTGAGCCTCCGCAAAGTCCTGCAGACACCTGAGGTGGTTCAGCTGGAGGAAGAGGAGGAAGAGTTACAATCACACAGAGAAAACAAACGCTCTGGAGTGGCCTAGTCAAAGTCCAGCTAGCTGTTACTGCTGCTGAGTCAGCAGGTTCAGGGTGTGAATAGTTTTTCACTCTGGTTGGGCTGCAGAGATTTGGTTCCTTAAATCAGGAGTCACTGATTTTCATTCAGTCACATCCAGACCCTGAATGACCTCGAAGGTCAAAAACTCATAAAGTTTCTGATTCATCAGATTAAAACGTTTTAAAATGTAACAGTTTTAACATCTGACATTTCTACAGCCCGATTTGACAGATGAGTAATATCTGAGCAGACATCCGTTCTATTAAAGTTTGACCTAAAGTCCACATGAGCAGCCGCAGCGGGCCGGATTTGGCCCGCGGGCCTCCAGTTTGACACCTGCGCCTTAAAATGTTACAAAAACAAAGAAAAGATGAAAAGTTTGTTCAGCCGTTCTGCTTCAGATGATGGAATAAAATAAATAATATCAAAATTTAAATTTAAAATAATAGAAAGTAAACAACAGCAGCTCCGGGTCCAGCAGAACCTGATCCACAGTGACACCCTGTGACTCATCAGGTCCACCTCGGGACCGGACCGGACCGGACCGGGCCCGACCCGGCCCGACCGGGCCCGACCGGACCCGACTGGACCGGACCCAACCAGCGCTTCTGACTCACATGTGTGCTGCTGATCCCCTCCAGCAGCAGCCGGGTCACCTCCGCCTGCCGGTCGAACTCCGTCTGGGCCACACGCAGCTCCAGCTCCGCCTGGGGGGAGGAGGGGTGGGCACATGGAGACACACAGATACACACTGATACACAGATACACACACACACACTTACACAGATACACACACACACACACACTTACACAGATACACCCACACACAAACACACACACACACACACTTACACAGATACACACACACACAAACACACACACAGATACACACACTTACACAGATACACACACACACATACACATACACAGAAACACACACACACACTTACACAGATACACACACAGATACACCTACACACACACACACACACACCTACACATACACACACACTTACACAGACAAACACACCTACACACTCCGTGCTTTCTGCGGCGGCCTCACCTTGTCCACTTCCTCGCTCAGCAGCTGAGACAAACGGAACCAGAGAAACGTCTCAGATTAAATTCGTAGCTCAACTTTCCACCATGAATCATCTGGACCGGCTCCTTGACCCGACCTGTTGCCATGGCAACGCAGGTCAGCAGCAAGAACCGGGTCAACCGGTTCAGATGTGGTGGTTTTCCACACAGGCTCACATATTTACATACACCCCAAAGAAGACTTTGTGGCAGTAGAGCTAGCAAAACATCCCTCAGCATGATGCTGCCACCACTGTGCTTGATGAATGGTACAGTGTTACTAGCAGTGGTGGGCAGTGGCAACCAGGAATCTCAAACAATAGCTATGCTAATGCTAAAACACCAAAATAATCATGAACTAATGCTAAAGAGCTAATCCATGTTTTAATGCTGCAGAGCTCAGTCGGTTTGCAAATAGTTCAAAGTTTAAACTGGCATGTTGTTCATCTTTTATCATTTTGTGGAATATTTAACTAGAAAATGGCACAAAATATTTTTCCACTCTGATTGGCTGCTGTCAGGCCTACAGATTTTAACCTGAATGTTCATTGCATTTTTCATAGACGCCTGTGAAAATAATTTCTATTCTCATGGCTTTTTTGTTCTCTGGGAAATTATTTTTGATGATAAATACAGAAACAAGCATAAAAATCAAAACATCTACAATAGTGATAGTGATATTAATAATAAAATAATAGTCAGTGCAAAGTAGCCTACAAATTCTTTGGTGGGGGGGGGGCCTGGATAGGGGCTGGGGGGCGCTGGCCCAAAAAGGTTGAGAAACACTGATTTAGATTCTACATAGAGGAGAAAAAACAACCAGATCAACTGGACACAGAAACATTTTTATTATTTAAAGAACTTAAAAAGCTCGATTTGTTTCTGCTGATAACAGACGGCCACCTGAAATACCGCCACCTGCAGGTGGGAGTTAGAACTATGTACTGTAGAACTACAGCGATGCATTCTGGGTAAACAGCAAGCTGTTAGTAACCATACCTTCAAAACAAAACAACCAAATTAACAAATGCTGGAAAATCAATTTAGGGGAAGCTAAGGTCAGCGTTTTCAAAATGCTAACGCGCTAAGCTAAAAATTAGCTCTATTGTTAGCGGATTAGCAGAAGTTATTAGTTAACTTCAGTTCTGTGTGTTAGAGCAGAAAAACATTTTATTAAAATACGCTGAAGGCTCTAGGAAGAGTTTGTGATGGATGAAGACGTCTCTTCATCTCTGCTCTCTGGGGGGATTTTACACGTCTGAGGCACCAAGTCGGTATTTTTCTTTTGAATCACTGAGGTTTATATTTCTCCTCTGGGTAAAGGATGAATCACAAAGATCCAGAAAGTGAGGATGAATCCATAATGAATGGGTGAATGGAAACGTCTGATCAGCTTCAGGATTGGGATATTTTCAGTGAGATAAACAACATGGCGGCATCTCAACAGGATGCTTTAATGGCCGATCATTTTCCAGGAACATGGCCGACCTTCCTGAGTGGGCAGATCCAGATGATCAGCTGATCAGCAGAAACTGCTGCAGCTGCTCAAGGTTTACAGCGCCACCTGTGTTAAACGGCCGCTATTACACAGCAGCATGAAGCTAAAAATAATCAGGATGAAGCCATGACCTTTTATTAATGCTCTTCAATTCAATTTAGAAAATACTTTAGAAATCCCAAAATTAAATGTCATTCCAATATATTAAGACTCTTTATGGATGATGATGCTGTAGCAGTCAGTCTGACAGTGTATATGAAGATGCCTCTGACTGAAGACTGTTCTGACATGCTAACAGCTCAACATGTCTTGGATGACATCATCAGCTTTGCTATTGTCCACAGAAGGAAATGACACAAACAAACACAAAGACTCTGAGAGGAACTTCCTTCTTCACCAGATGGAAACAAGATGGAGGCGTCAGATTTTAGCGGTTGGAGGATTTCTCTTTAGTCTCTGGCTAACGACCAGGAGCCATTTCTGCTGCTAGTGCTAGGCTAACACCTTAGCTTTGGTTGTATTTACCCAGAATGCCCTGCACTGTAGTCCACTTCCTGCTTCTGGAGCGGTCTCTGGTCCGCTTGGCGTTCACATCAACCGAACCCAGACCGAGGTTTGGAGGACCAGAGGTCAGAGGTCGTTTAGCGTTCACACCTCACTAACTGAACCGGACTGTGACCATGCACACGGCCTGGAGTTGGGTTGCAGTGGATTGGACTCCACTGACGCTCATCGGTTCTGATCTGTTCAGAACTTTTCTGCAGATTTAAAAGACTCTAAAACCAACAGACTGGACCTGCAGTTCTACCACCACCGGTTCTACGGGACACGGATCTAATCCGTTTATCGCTCCAACCTTCCTCTGCGCCGCCGCCGGGTCGGCCGCCGGGTCGGCCGCCGGGTCGGCCTCCAGGCTCCAGCTTTCCCAGCCGCTCTGAAGCCGCATCACAGAAACAAACTGAAATCAGAACAACTGCTGGAAGATTTACACCAGATTAACTCCTTAAATTAAATCCATTCCTGGAATAATCCCACATCTGATCCCAACCATCACCTATTCCTGGTGTTCCAGGCTGATCCTGATCAGATAATCCAGATTATTATCAAAAATTAATCAATATGCTAATGTTATATTAAGTTTGCGCAACTGTTTTTGAAATAAATGTTTTTATATTTAACCACTTTTTAGACAAAACAAGAAATCGGTACCGGTCCAGATCGGATTCAGCGGGTCGGGTTTTAAATATCGCTGATCGGCCAGAAACCCGGAATCAGTGCAAACAACAAAATCATTTAGAACCTTCAGCTCCAACCAGAACCGGGTCGGTGCCGACCCAGAACAGCTATAAAACCAACCAGAACCTCAGAGGTTCTGAACCAGAACACTTTCAAAGATCGAAACGACGCATCAGAACCAGAACCAGAACCTGGGTTAACTTCATCTGCTGTGGGTCCAACAACTGAAACATTCCCGGGTCAGAACCAGAACCATCCTGAGCTATGCTGGGTCTCTAAACGATGACATCATCAACAGCACTGGGACTCGCCCAGTGAAACCAGTAAAGCAGAAACTTCCTCCAGGCGGATCCGACCCGTTTCATGATCAAACAATAAAACGTGAAACTGGATTTATGTTCTGATCCTGGAGGATCTGCGGCAGGTTGAACACTGTAAAAACTAAAAACCACTTCAGGAGAAAACTAACTTTACAGGAAGTTGATTTGAGGAAATAAAATTTTCACTTCTAACCTGGAAAATGTCTTGTTAGAAGTGAAATTATCTGCCAGTGAAAAGGACGCTTTTTAAAAATCAGTATTGAGAAATTATTGACTTAAAAGAAACTCCAATATGTCGCTGAAAAGTTTCATCTTATTTGAAATTTACTCAGATATTAAATATTTGGTAACATCTTGTAGATCTGATAAATGATTAAAATCTCTGCAGAAACTTCTGTTTATATTTTACATTCCAGAGATATCTGGATGTGACGGACTTCCTGTTTGTGAGCCAATCAGATGGCGGCTCTGAGCGGCCCTGGGTCTTACCGCCGACGCGCTGGCCGACAGGACGTAGTTCCTCGGCCGCGTCTCCTGGAAGTCTGGAGTCGCCTGGACACAAAAGGAGAAACTTTCAGTTAAATTAAATTAAAAAAGATCCAGAAGACAGGAGAGGTACATCTGGAGGGTAATGTCTCCCTCTAGTGGACAGCGACGGCACAACATGAAAATTTAATACAAACGCTGTATTTGCAAAATACAGAATAAAAAAGTGTAAAAATCCTATAAATGCTTAAATATTTGTAATATTTAAATTAAACAGTAAGAAATGTATTCATAAAATACATATGTAAAATAAACATAGTTCTGTCAATAACGTATTAAATACACAATAGCACTAATTAAATTGTTAAATTAAGTAAAAAAATTAGCTTAATTACGAGTTAGAATTGCAATATTAGTAAATATCTCATATTTCCTGCGCTACAGTCCATCATAAATAATTTATCAGCTGCTGTGACTCAGCAAACAGACGCTAACATCTGATTGGTTCACCTGCACAAAAATAAATAATAATTAATTTAAAGTTAGTGACAACCAGAAGAGGTTTGGCTGGTTTGAACCGGTGGCAAAACTTCAGATAAATCAAATTATAAAAATATTTTAAATTTAAATTAACAGAATAAAACAGAAAAGCAACAAGAGGCCAAATCTAAACCATAAAGTTTATTTTTTACAGTGTTTTGTTGTTTTGCTGCCAGTGATAAAACATTACCAACTAGAGGAGCAGCAGCACAGCGCCACCATGTGGGTAAGCACTGTAACTGATGTTTCTATCATTTTATTTGAGGTTCTGGCCCATTAAGGGCTCGGTTCTGGTCTCACCGCTGCCTTGGCTTCGGCCTGCTTGGCTTTCTTCAGACGGGCTTTGCAGATGTCCAGGTCCAAACGCCGGTTCTCCAGGAGCCGCCGCTCCTTCTGCAAACACAGACAGAACCGGTGATAAGACAGACCCAGTCCGGTTCTCTGGTTCTGATCTGATCCGGTTCTCTGGTTCTAAACCTCAGGTATCGAAGTGAACAAGTGGATCACTGATTTTTCAGTTTTTGGTCGTTTCTGTCTTTGGGTTTAAGAACCGGTTCAGAACCAGGAGAAATTCTGATCCAAACGAGTTTAAAGCTGGAGTAACTTTTATTAAAAATATGTGGTATTATTTATTATCAATATTACTTCGTTATTGATTATTATTTGTAATATTCTATATTATTTATATTATTAAACATATGTTTTACATATTTAGTGAAACAGTCTCCATGTTGTGACAGATAATCTGAAATAAATAAAAATTAAAACTCATCTCCTCTGTCTTCTCCCAGTGCTAGAAACAACCAATCAGAGCCGCGGGGCTCTGATTGGTTGGAGGAGGAGTCAATCACCCCTCCTACTTCCTGGCTCTCTGCTTCGCTGCAGCTAGCGTAGCCTGTTATGGATGCTAAAGCTAGTTAGCATAGTCACTGATGATGACAAATTAATTGTTTTCCTATAACAATGAGTTGTTTCTCTCATTTAGCAGTACATGAGGTAATTGACAGCGCTAAGCCCCGCCTCCCGGCTCTGATTGGTTGTTTTCTTCAGACTGGCAGCTGATGGAGCAGACGATCTGTTCACAGACTCTCTCTCATACAAGGAGACAGTTTTAACAAATATTTAAAAAGTATATTTAAATAAAAGTCACTGCAGCTTTAGAGGACGGAAACCGGACCGGATCAGAACCGCATGCTGTCCAACTCACAGAGATGGTCCTCCAGTCTCCCTCCAGGAAGTTACGCAGAGGCGACAGGAAGGTGACGGCGGCCGTGTGGAGGAACTCCCGCTCGGCTCCGCCCAGCTTCCTCTGGTACTCTCCCACCGTGATGAGGGTGGTACCTGCAGGTCAACAGAACCGGGTCACACAGAACCAGAACCGGGCCCGGTTCTGATGCATCGGGACCGTTCCTCACCGTACGGAGTGTCGGCTCCGAACTCCTTGGCGGCGTCCAGCATGAACTGGCCCAGCAGTTCGGCGTTGGTGGTTCTGGACGGGAGCTTCCGGTCCAGCTTGTCGTAGATGAACTCCTCGATCCGAGCGCCTGGTTCCGGACGGGAACGGAAGACAAGTCAGAATCAAACACTAGAAATATTTATAGGAACCAAATAAAATCTCCAGAACATTCAGAGCCCAGATGCATGCTGGGAAATGGAGGAAACTCCTACCTGTGTGATCAACTGAGGCATGAAGGAAAACAGAGGTTAGATGTCAGAACAGAACCGGTCCAGTTCATCGGTAAACAGAATCTCTGAATCTCCACCAAAAGTCACCAGGAACTTCAAAACACTTCCTCCAGGAAGTCAGGATTTCAAAATAAAATTGATCAAGCTGAATTTTTAAAGGGTTTCTGCAAAAATTTCAACATTATGGATAAATAATATGCAGAGGTTCTGAATCTGGATCCATCGAGGATTAGCAGTAACACGACAACTGGAGCTTCTTCTTCTTGGTTTCCAGCAGGAACCGAAGCTAATGTGGTTCCTGGATCTGCTGTTAGAAGTTCTGTTACCTCCTGATTTACATTAACATCTAAATTATAACGTCAACATTAAATTGGATCCATGGTTGTAATTTTTCAAGCCAGATATTCAAATTTATTTAGCATTAGCAAAGTAATGTTTTAATTAGCGCTTGAGCATTAGCTTCCATTAATTACCAAGTTAGTGTTGCGTTAGCTTCAGCTAAATACCATGATGGCGGACCTCGACCACTCACTTGGGTTGGGCTGCAGCAGAACCTCCGTCTGTCTCAGGATCTTCTCGGTCCAGTTCTTGGTGGAGTCGGCTTTGGCCAGCAGGTTCTCCAGGTGAGGGTCCAGTTCGGTCTTCTCAGCCTGGCCCAGTTTCTCCTCTGTGAACTGAAACACATCAAGGAGGTCAACCAGCAACTTCCTGAAGGTCAACCAGCAACTTCCTGAAGGTCAACCGGCAACTTCCTGAAGGTCAACCGGCAACTTCCTGAAGGTCAACCGGCAACTTCACAGAACAAACCAGTGGTTGAACATCTGGGTTTCATTTCCTGTAATCTTCTGAAGTTCTCCAGATTTCTGGAGCTCCAGTGATTCTCTTCAGAGTTTCATGTGCAGAAAATGGGCCAAAACATTCAGATTTTGTAAATTAATGGAATATAATCTGATGCTGGAGAGACTGTGGTGAGTCTGTGTGGATTACAGCCTCACTTCCTGTCTGACAGCAGAGTCGCTGGTCGTGTCTCCTGCTGCTGTAGCTCATCAACTTCAGAGCTTCTCATTTATTCTGAAATGTTCTGCATACCCTGATTATAACGAGTCATTATTTGAGTTTCTGTACATCTATTCTTCTGTTTTGATCTCCACAGCTCCTGCTTGCTGGACATTGTCTCTTTTTTGGGTTAGAGTTAGATGTAGTTTCTGCATCTTTTTCAGTCTGGCACCATCATTACATGTCAACAGCCAATGGTTGTCACCATGTTTAGATAGCTAAAGGCACAGCGTTGGAAAAGAAAATCCGGTTTCCTCCCCCTTACCCACTGATGTCCTGGGCAAAGAGCCTTTTTCTCCACATTTTAAAAACCTCCTCCTCCTTCTAATTGCATCAAAATGTTACCGAATTTTAGAATAAATCTTTCAGATTATAATTCATAAAATTCATAACACCAGACTACAGACAGCCTGAGAATCGGAGCCGTTGGTTAAATCCGTTGCTTTTTGAACGGAGTCTGGCTGCGGGCAGCAGCAGGATTCTGCTGGTGTCACATGAGTGATGGAGCTGATCACAGCCATCAATAATGGATCGAGGCAGGACGGACCTTTATCGGCTTACAGCTGCTGCTCATCCGAGCAACAACAACCAAGAAGAACCGCAGAAACCAGCAGAACCGGAACCAGCCGGTACCAACCGGGCTCCACACACCCAGCCTCCCTCCCAGCGGGACCCGGAGCTCCTCTGACCGGCGGTGGGAACCCCATCACCCCGCAGCCCGCCGCCGGAGAGCCGCAGCTGTACCTGCACGGCCCGGGTGAAGAACACCCCCGCATCGGAGGCCAGCTTCTTCACGTTGAAGTCCATGGCGCTGGGCGGTTCTGGCTGCCTTTGTTCCCCCGGATCAGCTGCTGATGGAGCGGAGGAGACGCAGAGCTGCGGCCGTAATCCGCTCCGAGGAGGAGGATCGGAGATCTGCTGGCCGCCCTGCGCTTAAAGGGACAAGAGGGCGGGACGGAGGGGAGGGAGCTGCCGCCTGCAGCCGGACTGACGCTCTGCACGACCCATGATACAAATATAGAAATAAACCATCATAGATACACCTATAAACTACAAAACACTAAACAATACAAGTATAGAAATAAATATAAAAACATCTATAATACAAATATAAACTATAAAACACAAAACATATTAACTACATCATATCCATATAAAGAATCCAATCAAATTTAGTTGCATATTTAGTGACACACAGCGGTTCAGCTCAAAACCAAAGATGAACAAGAATAATTTAACAAAAACTACAAAATGAAAAGCAGAGAAAAACATAATAATAATAATAATAATAATAATAATAATAATAATAATAATAATAATAATAATAATAAAGTGCAGATCTGTTGGTTCTGCAGTTTGGATGATCATTCCCTCTGGTTCTGGATGCAAACAGCTGGAAGGATTTTTACTCTGACTTTTATACTTTCAGGCAGTTTTTATGATGATGTGTAACCATGGTAACAAGATTTCTCTTTTGTTTTTACAAGTGGCATCTTAATGGATGCAGAGCAAAGAGAGAAGGAGGACGTCTAACCCGTCTCTTCATCCCCTACTCTAACATCTCTGTATCCCAGCGGCCAGTCAGACATTTAAAGAGGAGCAAAAGCAAAGGAGGAGGATTAGCAGAGCTAACAACTGATGGAGCCATGTGGATATCATCTCTGCTGCCTGGATGTTGAGCCTGGATGTTAGTATGAGACTACTATACACCAGCAGTCTTCAGTCAGAGGCCTCCTCAGATCTGTTGGAAGACTGACTGCTACTGGGGATCCTTCTGATCCACGGCTGGAGGAATGATGATGAGCTTCCTGACACATTGCTGTGTACTTTATGCTGAAAGGACTAAATATGCCATTTCCTGATGGAAAGTAAAGCTTAAAACAATATTTGTAAGAGAAACTGAACATTGTTTACTTTGGCGTCGCCATGTTGAATCCTGACCTTTCTGACTGTCTGTGGTTTCAAAACGTTTTGCAGAGGCTAAAATCCTAACATTGAAATCACTGAGGGGCCATGTTTTTCCGATTAAAAATGCTAAATAATTTTATTATATATCTTTCATTATTATCATTACACTGTAGGCTGATGTAACTGACATGTTGGAATGGGGTGCCCCCAAATGAAAATGTGCTCTGGGCCCCAAAGAGCCTCGGACCGGCCCTGGAGTGGCTCTGCTCCAGGTTTTAACTCCTAAACCTCCAACATGGCCGCCCTGCTGCCAGCATCCTGATGGAGGACTTCCTTTAAGGCAGGTGTTAGCAGCGCAGCTAGCTGCTCCGTGATGACAGCTACCGGAAGTGGCTGCAGAGGAAGAGGAGGAGGAAGAGCAGGAGGGGCGGAGTCTGTTTGTTGACATCGGGACGAAAGCGAAAATCAGATGATTGAGGACTGAAAACAGCTTCACTGAGCCCGTCACCAGGACACGAAGCCCAGGTAGGCGCCGGCTCACCTGCCAGAACCCGGACCGGGCCCGAGCCGCGGTTCTGCCCCGCTGACCCGGTCCGCGAGCCGGTCTGATCCAGCTCAGCTGTCCGGTTCTGTTAGCTCCCTGCTAAGTTTGGCTAGGAAAGTCAGCGCTAGCAGCGAGCTAATGGTACCGTGAACCCGAACCGAGGGCGGAATGAGGCGGACAGCAGCCCGAACCGGTCCGAACACCAGCTACTGCTGCTGACCCGGTTCGGTTCTGCTGGGTCACAGGTTCCGTTTCAGTTTGCCAGCAGCTAGCGGCAGCAACTAGCCTGCTAACCTGCTGCTAACTGTTTCTCCTTCAGTTCATCTCAGTGTTCCAAACCGAACAAACCGGGTCACCGAACTCCTCGGCTGGTTCGGACCGACCCGGAGGCTCCGGATCAGATTTATTCATTATTAAAAATAATTTTGGATGATTTCTGAACATGGAAGCAGCTGGTTTCCTGTGAAGGAGCAGCAGAAAGGTTTCATTAAGGTTAATTATTAATAATCTGATTAAGATTGAAATAATCTGAGCTCCAGACTTTAGATTTTACTTTCAGCTCATGTTGTGTTTTAACAGCTGAGTGACTGTATTTATATTATAAATGTCATATTAATGGTTAATGTGACCTGAGCAGGAGAGATGATTGAACTTTTCCTCTTTCTGAGACTCTCAGACATAAACTTCAGTTTGCTTTTAAAGTTAAGTGGAAGGAAAAAATGAAACATCCACCACTCTCCTACCATCTATAGAGTGAAGCTTCTTCTTTAGAAAACATCTCAGCTCAGGTTGGATGGAGAACATCTGAAGATAGTTTTCATGTCCTGGACTTTGACTAGGCCATGATAACCCATGAATCTGCTCTGATCCATTCCATCCCATAATATTTCAGGCTGGAAGCTGAACTTTCACCCCTGCCTCAGGTTTTCCTCCAGGATCCATCCATGACCTCTGACCTCTGACTTAGTCGTTTCAGAACCCTGATGATGATGATGATGATGATGATGATGATGATGATTTAATATTGATGTGTTAAAAGATGAAGTATTTTATTTGTTGGTAAAAAGTGAAAACACAACAATTACAACTTTAATCCTAATATTCTAACTTTATTTTGTTATGATTAAAACATAATTCTCTTATTATTATGACTTTATTCTTTTCATATTGCATTTTATTTACATATTATTATGACTATTCTTTATGTGATAATCTAATCTTGATATATTATAACTTTATTCTTTAATTATTCTGACTTCATTCTGTTAATATTAGGATTTTATTCTCATATTATTATGACTTTGTACCTGCATTAATCCAACTTTAATCTGGTCATTAATAATGTATTTTTCTATCCTGGCTCTGATTCTCCATTATAAAATCCAGAAGAATTTCAAATTTTCAGATTTTAATCTGTAGAAAATAAACTTTTCACATCATAACTAAATTTATCCTAATTTTTCTCTATTTTCAGGATTTTTTCTGGTTTTATCTTGATTCAGTTTTCATTGTTTTTTCTTGAATTTTCTCAGTTTTTCTTCCTGTTATTAATTTGATTTTATCCTGATTTTGTTCAGATTTTTCTTCTGTTTTTATGAGAATTTTTAAAGTTTCTCTTCATCCTTCACTTCTGCTGGTTTTCAAATGACCTCAGAAAATCGACTTCCTGTTAATCTGGGATTAGCTTCAGATCATTTCTTCCCTCTTTAGAGTCTGAGGTTCTGCTGAAAACGTCTTGATTGGATCAGAGCCGCTGCTGCTCAGATGATGGGATGTTTAGTCAGTTTAATCGTTTGGAGCGTCAGAACTTTTGGTGTCTCCTCTGGACCGCTGACGTTCTGCCCGTCCTCCTTCAGGTCCTCTGTTCTGCCCGTCTCTGACCTGAGCCAGCAGCGCGGGGCGAACATGGCAGCCAAAGCGGGCGACGACCCGGACAGCCTGATGACGCTGGCCACCGTGTTCTGCCTGAGGAACCTGAGGAAGACGATGTGCTACCAGGGCTTCAGGAACAAGCTCTGCATGCGCGCCGACATCTTCCTGCCCAGCGAAATCTGCGACAAACTCGTCAACACGTACGCAGACCGCCGCTCGCCGTCTGGACGCTCTCTGTGGCTGCCGCCGCTCTGACTTCCTGTCTCCTGCAGGTACATGGAGCTGGTCCACACTGACAGCAACTTTGAGCCGGAGGAGAGCTTCTTCCAGCTGTTCTCGGACCCGCGCAGCACCAGGCTGACCCGGGTCCAGCTGAGGGAGGACTTCGTCCGGGACCGGGACCTGGAGGCCATCAGGAAGCAGGTGGAGCCTCCACTTCCTACACACTCTGACCGTTAATCAGGCTGCAGATTTCAATATGAGAAATACAGTAAAATATGTAAATAAACTAATAATTCCTTCTTAATTAGAAAATAACATTTTATTACAGAAAATGCA